TTGCAAAAGATGTGATTGGGTATCAAGGGAAAACTCCTAATGTAAAAATAGTTGGTGGTGGAATCCAATTGTGCAAGAAAAGATTAAAATGAAAGATTTGTTATAAAAATTGGTTTAATTTTAAAAATTCTGATAATTGGAAAATATATAAAGTGGCTCGTAAGGATTCTAAGAAAGCAATATGTGATGCAAAGACATACTTTTAGTGATTTATTAATAGATTAAATACTAAGGAGGGAGAAATATATATTGTATAAGTTAGCCAAACAAAGAGATAGGAGTAGTAAGGATTTAGTTCAAGTGAAGTGTATTAAGAATGAAAGATCAAAAAATACTTTTCTTAGAAGATGATATTCAACAAAGGTGAATGAGATATGTTGCTAAACTTTTTAATGAAGATTGTGAAAATAATATTGACTATATTGACTTAGCATCCTAAATGAAAATAAAGATTTCTGTTTTTATCGGCTATTAGTAAACTGAAGTTAGAGAGGCTTTAAAGAAAAAAGGGTGGAAAAGCTGTTGTGACCATAATACCATTTTAATCGACGTATTACTAAACTTTTTAATACAATTTTGAAGACTAAAAGAATGCCAGATGAGTGGAGAATGAGTGTGTTAATTCCTATTTTAAGAATAAAGGTGATGCACAAGATTGTTCGAATTATGAGGTATTAAGTTAATGTGTCATACTTTAAAACTATGAGAGCGAGTTATGGAGCATAGGTTGCGCGTGTGATACTAATGTTTCTCAAAATAATTTGGATTCATGTCGGTAGGTCGAAGAAAATTAAGGAGGATATGCATATGATATTTATTGAATTTAAAAAAAAGCATATGATAAAAATTCCAGAGATAGTGCTATGGAGAGTTCTTGAAAAGAAAGGAGTCAATAATGCTTATATTCAAATCATTAAATATATATGCAGGGAGCTATACTTGTGTTTCAACACAAGGTGGTTTGACCAAGTATTTCCCTATTTCAGTTGGTTACATCAAGGATCAGCCTTAAGCCCATATCTTTTTGCTTTTAGTCATGGATGTTCTCACTAAGACATTTGCAAGAGGATGTACCTTGGTGTAATGACTAGCAAGTTTCTGATCGATATTCGTCTTGTTATACCGATGCTAAGGAACTTCACTGCTGGCAGGTGCAGAAGATATTCTTCTTGTTGTAAGAACTCAAAGAGGTCGATGGGATGCGGGAGCACGAGCGACGATGAGTAGTAGAGGAGGAGTCGCGAGGCCTTAGTAGTCTACAAGCGATAGCCGCCTACTGATATCCGAGTCCTCTATCGACACGAGTGACATCGGTATATATAAACAGAATATATGCACTCGCGGTTGAGTGTATTTAGTGTAGTAGACGCTGTAGTAAATGGAGCGGATGAATTCAGACCTCTTTACGATTCTGCGCTCAGTTCTAATGAGAGAGAGAGTAGCACGTTTTAGATTCTTGGATATATTATTCGGTGATGGTGAATAGAACTGAGAGTACGCAGGAATATGATCACGAGGACATTCAAGTTGGAAACGCGTCGCGTGAATATCGGGTCGACTGCAGGTTGATAGGCGACGACGGATATCTGCAGAGCATGCCCGAGCGCGAGCGGAGGCATAGGCTTGCCGCATGCTAGCGCTTACGCTGTAGACATGTACCGGCTGTTCAGGGATAGGGCGAGGTTCTCATCATGACTCTCGGAGAGACACGTTGGTATAGAGCAGACTGTACGGGTAGAGGACAGAAGCGAGTGTGTTATGTCCAGAGACTGTAGGTCGGCATACTGGAATGTGCAATCAGTACGATGGGGGCACTAATATGAAGCGAGTATATGCTGATCGTAGCTTTTTTATGTATTCGGAGCTGCGAGATGATTTCATTTATCTCGCGGAGGACGTGGGATAAGTCGCGATGGCTGGTTCGTGGGGGAGGGCTGCTGGATAAGAGGCCTGAGTAGCTACATATAGAGAGAGAGAAAGTCAGTGCGAATAGTCTGGAGTAGAGGTTACACGGTGTGTGCGTCCTGGAAGATGCGAGGGCGATATGAGGGCATGGGAGTCGAAGTGGGCTTTAACCCCCATTAGATGAATAGGGAGAGAGTGGGTCACGTCCCAAGCAAAATGAGCTTATAAGATAAAAGGTTGGAAAGTATAGCTCGCGAAGTTAGAGCTTAGATCGAGAGTCGCCGTTAAATGGTTTGAGGCTCAACACCATAAAAAGGGTGCGTTTCTTCTCTACCCGATGACCAGGTTAGGTGATCGGAAGAGTTGAGGAAAGTTAAGATTTGATTTGTGTTAAGTATATAGTAGGGGTAGACCTAAAAAGACTTGGTTAGAAAATATTAGGAATGACCTTTCTTTATTAGATTTAAACGAGAATTTGATTTTTAATAGGACACAATGGAGAAAAAGAATTCATGTAAACGACCCGCATAGTGGGATAAAGGCTTGATGTTGTTGTTGTAGTATGGATTTAATAAAAAAATACAAATACCTACCTCCTTGATGCCTTTCCTCTTTCACTTCCAAAATTTAAGAAAAACCAATATAAAACTTAATTCATTTTCACTAAATGATTTTAATTTTTCTAATAATCACTTTAATATCTCATGAACATTAATCTTTAATTTAAATTTTTGGATATTTCATTAAACCTGATTTTTGAAAATCATATATTCACTAATTTTCTCATATAATCATACCAAAATTTTCCTTATACATAATTAATACTTAGATTAAATTATTTTCGAATTATTTTAATAAAAAAATTAGAAAAAAATTATTTTTGCAAAAATATTTAATTTTATTCATTAAAAATGTTCCTAAGATCATTTGAAACAAAATCATTAAGGAATTTTCTTAGAAATCCAAAAATATGAAAAACCATAATTTTCCAAACTCACTAAAAATTTGGGAAAACTTCATTTCTATGCTTTAAAATTTCCTCCAACTCTCCCTAACATTCCCCTTTTAAAATTTTAATTTTCCATAAAACCCTAGAATCTTTCACTTCAAGAAATCTATGCGAAATGGACGAATTTCTTGTTTAAAAACATATCTTAGTCTTCCTTTAATCTCCCTCTACAATTTCCCCCAAAGTTGGCCACCGGAAACTGCCGTCGCCATCACCGTAGGAGCCTTGCTCGTCGCCTCCCTCTCTTTCTTTCTTCGGCTGAACGCAACCAAGCGTGCAAATAAGAAGGGACCGAATCCATTTGACCCCTTAAAGCCTTGAACGGTTAGGGGGATTTCCAAAAGATCAATTTGCCCTTACATGCTTTAATTTCATGAAGAAGAGAAGGGGTTATTAAGTAATCTTTATTTCAGGAAACTTCTATGATTTTTTATCTCCCAATCCATGCGAAATTTATCATATGTTCTTTATATCAAAATGATCGAAATTAAATGTACAATTTTATAAAATAAATTTCTTCGAAATCCGACAACTTTGAAAATTTGACTATTTTTGTCGTAGTGCATTGAAATGCGTGCAATGCTTATGATTCGATATTCTTCGGATTTTTCGAAACAAAACATGGCTGAGTACCTTCATGTCATTAGCACTTGTGAACCTACAACCCATTTGTCTGTTATATCTGTGAATGAAAGACGATACAACACTGAAGCTCCACAGACAACCATAAATGGCATGCACGGCGAAGTCTTCAAGTTAGACAATTCTTACTTGGACATTATTTATTTTCCTAAATCATCAAGTCTGAAAATTTCATGCCAACCAAGAATATTAGGCCCTTCAGTATAGTTATAATCAATAACTCTAACTAACTCATCAAATGAAACTCAAAATAACGAGTTAAATATGCCAAAATACATTTGAGTTTTACCTGCTTATGCATATATAGGCAATATCTGTGATGCACAACTCAACGGTCATAAAGATCAATAAGATTCATCTATCATATCACTTCGCAAAGTAGCTTTCTCATCAAGCTCTCCTAAATTCTGTCCTCTATCCACCACTGATTTGACTTAAGACAAATCTAATTTTAGTATTCACGACATTGGACCTTTAATAGGAGTACTAAAATTTTATGTTTTAGCCGAATGGTTGGAATCAGGCTAAAGATGATGAAATCAGGCTAAAGATGATGAAATCAGGCTAAAGATGATGACGGTGATGAGCCACATCCTGAGCTATTGGTACAGGTCATGCTTTTCCTTGGATATCTTGAAGGGATATGCCTATGTTACTAGTTAGTGGATGCCAAAATTTTTTTCATGCTTGAAAGCATACAAAATTTTTATGCTAGTGACATTTATCTCCCAATCCATGCGAAATTTATCATATGTTCTTTATATCAAAATGATCGAAATTAAATGTACAATTTTATAAAATAAATTTCTTCGAAATCCGACAACTTTGAAAATTTGACTATTTTTGTCGTAGTGCATTGAAATGCGTGCAATGCTTATGATTCGATATTTTTCGGATTTTTCGAAACAAAACATGGCTGAGTACCTTCATGTCATTAGCACAACCATGATTAGGCTCGCAGATGTCATTGTTGCATGGTTTAAAGATTTTGTAACATCAAAGAAAATTTCATTGATTTCATATTCTGAGAGCCTAATCATGGTTGTGCTCACATGTCAACTTGATAAGTTCTCATGGCTCGACTAATCTCTTGATGGAAATGGTTTCCTTTTAGATGCTCTACCAATATCTTTAGTGTGCCTGACTTATCATAACTCCATGGAGGAGTTGTGTTTTTGATTATTTGGTAAACTGTTTAACTATCTCTTTTTCCTATTTCAACGTGTGTTGTGGTTGAACTCTGATTTTTTTTAATGCGCTTACTCAAGCCTTCCACAAATTCTAATGCTCAATTTAGTCATCTGGTGGTTGACTGCTTAATTTTGATTTTTTATTTTAATGTTGAACTTGCGCGTGAACTAGTTATTTTTTAATCCTTTGGTGGATGTGTTTTCTTTTCTCAATAAGAACTTTTTGGGTGATTAATTTTGTGTCATCTAATCAGTTTGCACTGGAGCTTGGTCATTATATCTATTATGCCGCCAAAGGAAGATGAATCACATCCTATTATTCTTCACTTGGATTCATTGGGTCTGCATAAGAGTTTATTAATTCTTGAGGTTGTTCAGTGGTAAGAAATACCAGATGCTTGAATATTTTAGGTTTAGTATATTTTAAGTGTTAATTTCTTCCTTAAAAAAAGTGTTAATTTCGTCTTAGTTATATCTTGTACTTTGAATTTTTACATGTGAAAGATGCATTAGTATTTTTTTTTCTACCTACTTCATTATTTCATCTTTGTTTTTCATTTGTTATAGTCTTGTTGGATTTCAAATCACTCGGGTGTGTTTTCATGTTTTTTTAATCTTGAAATTGTGCTACACAATGAACTCTTTTTACTATTATAGTTTCTTCCTCTGTACTTCCTAATTTGAATAACATTCATGTTAATATTTTCATTTTCATCTTAATTGATTTGGTTATCGAAGGCTTCATTGTTGCCAACACTTTATATCCCTATAGCTTTTCCAATCTAATTTTAGCTTATAAAAATTATCCTTAAATTCTCAGCATTAATCTCTTATCACACATATTCTTGAGTACTTCATTTTAATAACCTATTTGCAAATCTACAAGTAATATCCTCATCTAAATCACTTTTCTTTTATATAATTAGATCCCAAGTAACAAAACTTAATGATATAGGAGATCATTGATTTTTCATTAATATTGATTGAGAAATTATTATGTTATACTATGAGAGTAGCACTTATTAAAGATATAAAAGAATGGCTTAGGTTATTTGGGCATGTGCAAATGCGGATAGAAGTTGCATTATAAGATGAGTTAATATAATCAAATTGGAAGGATTGAAGATAACAGTGAGTAGATTAAATATTATATGATTATAATTTGTGCAATGATTTGCAAGAACATGCTAGTACTCCTGAAACAGCAGGTTTTAAACTGTAATTTTGTTTAATGTATTATAACCAGGAGTTTATGGCTTCATATCACAGAAATAACCTCTCTGTAAATAAAGAGTAAGATTGCGTATATTAACCCATTCTTATACTTTGTATTGGCGGGAGCTTCACACATCGGATATGATTTTTTATTTATAATGGCAATTCAAGCAATGCAAAAAAAGAATGAATGATGAATTAGGATTAATGAAGTCAACTCCCAGTAATTGTGATAATTCCAATGATGTCTATGATCATTAATTCATTATTACAATGTTAAATTTTTCTTTATTCATAAATAAAAATCTGTTCCAAAATAATTCTCCAATCATTTCACATCTCTTTAGTTATTAAAATCTCATTAAAACTTTTGCTACTCATACTGTTCCAATACCTCTCATAATTCTCCAAAGTTTAGCAAGTTTCTTCTATGGACTCTTGTATCTTCCGCATATTCTCTTAACATTATTGAATCATTAAACACTATTTTTTTTATTGTACTCGTCTTGTTTATAAAAATATGTCTTAGTTTAACTTTCATTAAAACAAATCTCAAAATATTTTTTTCAGACTTTCTTCATATGTTCATCTTAAAATAATTTTTCATTATCATCACTCATAATATTTAACTTGATTAAACTGTTTATATTCTTTCTTTTGCCTTACCCATTTTGTACATTTTCTTTTCTCCTTGGCATCTAGCCTGCCTTCCAAATTATTAAGTTTTTTTTAATTTTGGCTCTGCTTGATTTTCCTTTTAAAATTTCTTACTTTTTTATTATTATAGGTCTTAAACCATGTGCGATTATGTTGTTGTTAAGCGTTAGGCAACTATATCCTTTAGAAGCGATTTAATCCTCTAGAAACCATGTGTGGCTACAGGATGTTTGAAGTGTCGCCAAAGCCTAAAATTGCTGCTCATTAAGAAAGAAAAGTTAACCAGTATCTCAGGAACTGTAGGTGTAGGAGAAGGTAAAACGTGTTTAAAACATTAGGTAGAATATGATCAAGAGAAATAACTCTCATTTTGAGTGATTGAAGTTTCTTTCACCAAAAAAAAAAAGGAAGATGAGTGAAATCCACTACATTGCTAGAGAATATTAATGGAGTTCTCTTTATCAGAAGGATGAATCCTCTACAACTGAAGTTAATGAAACATTTACTTCTTGATAGTTTAGAAAAGAAAGAAAAAAATAAGGTTTCTTACTTCTTAATGAAGTATTATTTGCAGAAAATGAACTTTCCACTCTACTATTAAGCAGGCCCTCAGTTTGACTTCAATTTTTTTAATCTCTGGAACATAACTTCAGCTAAGACTATAGTCTGTAGTTTCTTAACAGAAGAATGGAAGTACGTGAAGCAAAATGCGTCTTCCCCACACATTAGTTCTGGAGAAAAGATATTGATTGACGTCCCTTTAAAGGTTGACAAGAAAGAAATCAAGGTATTTCTATGCTGTGTTTTCTTTTGCTTTCATGCGTTAAATTTTTGTTAGCTTAATGTGGCTTACCTTCTTCTGGCTTATCAATCGTGGAGCTTAAATTCTTTAGTCTTTTCCGAGTAATTATTCTTACAGTTTCTACAACTCTTTGGAACTTCATAAGCGATCATTTGAAATCCATAATCTTCATCGGGGTTTTTTTTTTTAAATCTTCATCAGGCTATTTGAATTCCTTAATCACCAATATATTAGGCAGTAGGAAATTTCTAGTTACAAGTTAATCATGGAAAAACCTTGTGGAACATTGTGATGCGAAGACAAGGTAGTTTAATGTATTTTCCTATTTCTGTTGGATTACATCAAGGATCAATCTTTAAGTCCATATCTTTTTGCTTTAGTCATGGATGTTCATAGTAGCTTTTTGCTGATGATATTCTTCTTGTTGATAATACTAGAGGGAGTTGAAGGTAAACTTGAATTATGGAGGTTAATTTGGGTAAATATAAAATTGAATACATGAAGTGTAGTTTTAATAGTAATAGACCTAGTGGAGAGAATGTGACTTTGGACAATCAAATACTTAATAAGAGTACACGTTTTAGATGTATCGGTTTATTGTTCAGAGTGATGGTGAAATAGATGGGGATATTATTACTAGAATTCAAGTTGGATGGTTGCAGTGGAGGAATGCATCTGGCTTGTTGTGTGATAGAAAAGTACCCCTCAAATTTAAGAGAAAATTTTATAAGATGGTGGTGAGACCTGCCATGCTTTATGGCGCAAAATTTTGGCCATTAAAAGAGAAGCATAAGTGCAGAGATGAGGATGCTTAGGTGGATGAGTGGTTTTACTCTTAGAGACAGAATACGAAACGAACATATACGTGAAAAGCTTGGAGTAACTCCAATGGCATATTAAGATTAGAGAGTCGGCTTAGATGGTTTGGTCACATAAAAGTATAAAACGTTGATTTTCCAATGACCTGGTTGGGAGAGTAGATGTAATAGATTTGGCTTATGTTAAAAAAGGTAGAGGTAGACTTAAAAAGATCAAAATATTAGAAATGACATTTCTTCGTTAAATTTAAATAAGATTTTGACTCTTAACATGACACAATGTAGAAAAATGATTAATGTAGCCAATTCTACGTAGTGGGATAAAGGCTAGATGTTATTGTTGTTGTTGTTGTAGAAAGCCCGAACCATCTCCATGAATTCAAAACTCTCTTGACAGAAATTAAGCTTTCAGCATGTGCTTCTAAGTTAAGCCAGAAATAGAAAGTTTCAAAGATCATGTTTCTCCATTATTTAAAATTGATCTTTTTCACCATCAGCTCAGATTTGCCATACTTGAACTCCAAACATAATTATTGTTCCTAATATCATATATCATCCCTAATTGCCACTTGATGCTTCAGTTAACTTTCCTTTTCTGTCAGGTACCTCAGCAGAAAAATGAGTATGATTGTGGCCTTTTCGTCCTGTACTTCATGGAAAGATTTATCAACGACGAGGCCCATCAAAGATTTAACAGGAATGATCCTAACATGGTTAGCCTAAATTTATTGTATTTTTTTTTTGTTTTTTTCTTTATCAATCTCTTGCCATTTAGGCTTTGTTTGGGCGGCTTTCTTACTGCTTCTTAAGCAATTTTCAGTACAAAAAATAAAATTTTTCTATTAGACAGTTGCTTTAAGAAGCAGTAAGAAAGTCGTCCTTATGCTTCATTTAGGACGGCTTTGTTCCTGCTTCTTAAAGCACCTTTCTAGTTAAAAAATTAAACTAGAAAACCGATTTAAGAAGCATGAATCTTAACTTTGAAATTGAATTTTCAAATTTAACAGTTTGGCACCGAGTGGTTCCAGCCAGAAGAGGCTTCAAGCTTAAGGAAGCGCATACAGGATCTTCTATTAGAAGAATTTGAGAGTTCGAGATTAGATTGTGGAACAGAAGAAGGCCATGATCAATCTCCCAGCAGCTCATCTGAACCTGATGAGGAGCTACGTGTTAAATCTTCTAAATCGGTAAAACAATATGAAAAATAAATAAATATTTTTTTTTTCTGATTCAGTAAATAGCTATGAACTTTAGAAATTAGAGCGGGCAATATACAAATGATTTTTGGAACTTTCATTGCTTCGTTGGGACAGTTTTTTTATTATTTTCTAAAACGATATTTTAGTATAAAAATTTTTGAAATAGAAATTTTATATTAAAATACTGTTTTGAAAAGAAATAAGAAAGTTGTCGCAAACGAAGTCTCGGTGAAATCTCCCATTGTTCTGTTTTTGGAGTTGCAGAGTATTTTCAGGCAAATCTGTAGACAAAGATGGAACGAACAATTTTTCAAAATTGTAAAGAGTAAGCATGAAATTGTAATGCACAGGCGGTGTATACTGTATAGTGTGCCCTTTTGAGAAAGGATTTTCTTAAAAATATGAAATAAAATTTTAGTGTTTTTTTTTTATTTATTTTTTCTTTTTTCATTGGCTTATTATTCTAATTTATGGGCCGATATATACCATTCATTGCCATTTTTTTTTTATAATTTTTTCTAATTTTGATTTTTTATTTTAATAAATATTTATAAGCTAATTGGTTGATTCTTTAGATTTGATATATGAAGTACTATCCTATTAGTAGCTCATCTCATTTAGGTTTTATTTTGATATATATGGTAACATAGATGTGCTGAGTATGGACTGTTAATTGGATCCATTGAATCAATTTGTTTTTGGCTGTCTAAAAATAATTGTAAAATTATTGTGGAAAATATATTTAAAATAATTTAAATACTGCAATTTTCTTCTAAAAAAAGTAAATAATAATTTTATCTCAGGTACCATATTCCAACAAATTTGAATATACAAACTTTCTCATCATAAAAATTAAAAGGAAAAAACAAATTATAATCAGACAAAAAATGGAAGTTATCAAGCAATAAAAGCCGCCTCAAATAGGGGAAATTATTATAGAGTTCAAATAGTTTTTCATCCGGATTTCATTCACGTGAAGATAAGTGAACTTTCTTTCTTTTGCACACACCCTATGTATAAGGAAAAATTATAACGTGCTGGGTCCGGGCATCAATCCAAACGCTCCACATCACCCAATACACAGTGTGTTGGGTGACATGAGGCGTCCGGATTGACCTTCGGACACATTCGGACTCCGCACGTAATAACCTCTTGTGTATAAGAGTGAAAATAAAAGTCCACGAATCTTCACGTGATTGAAATCCGGACGACATCCCGCCTCCGCACCTAATAATTTTTTCCTCAAACAGACGGTAGAAGTAGACGGTTACTTAAAGGACAAACAAGCCCCTGTGGAAATATGCAGCTACTACAGCATCAACCAGCTCAAATTTCTCTCATAAAATAACGAAATCCTCAATACAGTATCAGGAAATATGAAGATACAGATAAAGAATTTTAAATAGTTGACTTAATACAAAACAATAATTTCAATTTTCAGACCGTTAGAAGACCGTTACCCCGATCTCTTACCTTGACGACGCCTCGAGGGAACAACACACCATCCTTCTTCATCAGGCACTTGAATTTGCTCAGTTTTATCTGCTACAATTTCAGTTAGAGGTGATTCATCAACCATCATATCTGATCCTTCATCATCTGAACTCTCATCAACATTATCATCCATGGCCTGTTAAGAACAAAACCATAGAATTTGCTAAAACATTTTAAAATTTTTCAAATTTCAATTGGCCTGACAAAAGGGTAACACAATGTTAATTCAACATACAATAGATTTAAATGTAGCAATCACGAAAGAGAAGAAATACAATTTTTCTCCCTCAATTGAAAGAGTTATTATTCTGTGCGGACACTAGACGGTTCTCTTGTCCGGTTACCGAGCGCGGTACATTTTTGAGGTGACGTGGTTTATTTTTATTGGTCTCCAGACGCGATCCGGACTCCGCACAGAATAATAAATCCAATTGAAAAGAATGGTACACTGTAGGAGAATATGTCAAGATAGTTGTGAAGAAATCCAACAAATAAATATGTTAAGTCTTGCCCTCAATATTTTATTGAGAAAAGGAAAAAATGATCTCTTAACTTTTTGTGAAATATAAAAATGTTCATCAACTATATTAAATGATCATTTTGATCGTTCAACTCTTTAAAGATGAATCAAAATAATCCCAATATGAACTAATTTGGTTCATTTTTAAGGACTTGAGGGACCATAATGATATTTTAATATAGTTGTAGACCATTTTAATCCTTCATAAAAAGTTAAAGAAATTTTTTGATTTTTTTACCCTTAAACCGGGAGTGGTTGAACATATCTGACTAGAAATTACAGATGAAGATGTTGGAATGTTTTTTTTTTTTTTTTTTTTTTTTTTTTTTTAATAAATTTATTTATTTGACTTCTTTCATGTATGTGTTACATTCCATGATCTTTTGGTTCATATGTATATAAGCTAGTCCACTGAATTTTAAATTACCACATGAATTTTCAAAGAACACTCAACCTAAATTAGCTGTACAAAACCTCAGTAGTCATTCAACAATAACTCCAAGAACTTGGCATACATTCTGTTTAAATTTATCATATCTAGTAGTTAATTTTGTGATGTGCTTTGGTAAGTTGTTCATTAAAGCACATTTAAGCCCACTTATAATACAATACACTTCAATAAATATTAATTATAAATTCCCTCAGTATTTTAGTTGAATCAAAATCAACTCGACCTGGTCAAGTCGACCATATTGAGTCAAGTGTGAAGATAGAGATATTGAATAGAAAAAGAATAAAGGAGAACAATTGGCTACTGTTACAATCAAACCATTGTCCTTCAAGAAAACTAATCAAGCTTAACATTACCTGTCTACTTTGAGAGACAGCAACTGTCCCAGGAGCTGCTTTCCTTAGTTTTTCAATTGATTCAAAATTTCCTTGAAGAAGGTCTTCATGAATAACCATTAATTGCTCAGCAACCTGCATATAGATTACTATGAATTTAAGCAGAGCATAACCAATGCACATATCAAGCAAAACTTAAAAAACAACAGGAGTTTAATTAGACAAAATATTTTTTTCCAAAGAAGTCATGGAGCAATGACACAATACATTTATGAACATCAAATATTGAAGTTTTCGCTTTCCCTTCCTCTTACACGATAAATTATTATGTACGGATAACAAAGGTGTAAACATTTTTTTTTTTTTTTTGAACGGGGGTATCTACCCTCTGCCACTCCCAAGGGAGTGCTCGGAGGTGTAACTAATCCCTCGGTGGAACTAGCGAGGCCACCCACCAGTATCGGGCCCACACTTGTTTTGCCCCACTGAAGAGACGAGGCCGTAGTATAAGGGATTTAAACCCGGGATGGGGGTTCCCAACCGTGCTCGCCCACCAATCACCCTAAGCCTCATGTAGAATTATGCACATATGCTACATGTCAGCTCTTGATTGGTTGATTGGTGGGCTACAATTTTTGCACCTTCCTCAACTACACAATAACATCTCCCCACTTACACCGTTTGTCTCCGCAGTTAACAGTGAAGAAAGTACTAAAAAGTGTAACCAGAGGCTGCATAAAAACATATCGTCAATGCACAAAATATAAGAGACCATTTTGATTTGATGTCTTTCAAAAAGTAGGAAAATTGGGTGCAACCCAAAATACATTCCCATCTTAATTTAGAGAGGGTAGAAGTTAGAGATAGAATGTTCTAAACTAATCAAGCTGCCTTTAGAACACACTATGTTTTAATTAAATACATTTCTTTTAAAAACTCGACAGGAGGAAAAGTTTGTACCAAACAGCCCCTTAATTAGATTCTTAAATGCAATTCTAGAAAGTATAACAAAGTCTGATGAAATGTTCAATTATTTACTATAATAGAACTTGTCAACTTCAGCTAACAAATAGGGAAAGGGGTAAAACCCAAAAGTATTATTAAAGACTAGAAGAAGGAACACACCTCTTCGACACTACCATCATCAATCTCTGTATTGAAAGAATGCTCCATATTTTCATCAAGTAAATTCTCTAAATCATCAATATAAAGAGGTTCTGACAAATAAAAAAGGAAAGTCCTAGAGTGATCAGCCTGCTATATTGCTAATTACATACAAATATTACAATCGCAAAAAGTGGTGCAAATGAAAGCAATTCAAATTTCGAACCACAACTAAATTTTTGGTATTTCATAAAAAAAGGTTAGGAACTTATATATGTCAAAGTCTATTGAACTCAAACATGATAGCTAGTGCTAATTTATTTAACTATAACCGAATCTAAAATATTTCAAATCACTTAATTTTCATCAAACATGAGAGGATGGAAACCTCCCCTTCCCCCACAAAGAGCATGATAGAGTAAATTTCTTTTCTGTATTTCAACATACATATTTCATCATCATCATTAGCCTTATTCAAACTATTTGGGGTGAATCTTTCCAATCATTCTTGTTCGCTAGTTGCGTAAAGTTTGAAAGATATTGCCCAGCACACATTTTGTACAAATTACAATATTATAAAATATACCTTCAAGCCTCCATGATATTATTGTTTATCCATTTTAACCATTACCTTTACCTTAAGAAGTGATATCATTGTCTATATCCCCATTTTAAATAACTTCTATACATGTTTTAATTATTTAACTGAATCAAAATTATTTTGCGTGATGTCATTTGTAGGACTATATAAGACTACAAGTGCATGTTTTCTAAACTGTAATATTTATGATTAATCACTTGAACACTTGTTTATATTGGTCTACACGCATTGAATATATCTTACTACTACACTTGAATGCTAAGTTGCTTGTCATACTCTTAGCTTTTGCATATCATTTATAGCTTCAATTGTGCAGGACAAGCCCTAATCTTTGCATTAGGAAAACCATTAAAGTATTAGAAAAACAAGGTGAAAGTAATGAAATTTCGGAGTTAATTGCAGCATTCAATGAGAAACAGATCTTCTCCATGCCAAATCCTCAAAACCCTAGAGAAAAAATCGAATATATCAAGGGCGGAGAAAAAGACCTCACCTTTGGATTGAGTGAACCACGACAATATGGCCGAAGCAAGTTCCTCCGACTTCCTGCGGGATTCGCGGCCTCCCCATTCACTCTCAACCGCCATTTGCAGAGCTGTCCACCTCGATAGAACAAGAAAGATCCCTTCTTCCAGGAATGGAACCGCCTCTCGACTTAGAATCTTTGAAGGGTTTTCATTGGTTTTCAGAATTCCATTCGACGTATCCATGGTTGATTCTATGCTTATCTGCTTCTTTGATCGATATCTCCTGTGCTGCGTCGGGGGCTGTTGGTAGCAGGATTTAACCTAAATCCTGCCAAACGGTTAAAAAAAAAAGACAACTTTAGGGGCTGTTTGGTATCGGATTTATCGTGGGATTTAAGTCGGGTTTACGCTAAATCCAGCCAAACGGTTTTTGTGCGCGCGTTAAATCCCGGGATTTCATAAATCCCGAACTTAGGGATTTACGGCTTAAATCCCGGATTTAGTAAATCCCGGATTTACTAAATCCCTCGGTTCGGTGGATTTAACGGGATTTAGCCGAAGAAGAGCGCGAAAGGGAGAAAGTTACCTTCACAGCCAGCGATGTCCCGTTCTTGCTTCCGATCAAAATGTCGTAACTTCCGATCTGACAGCAAGGGAAAGTCGTCGAAGGAGCGAAGTCGAACAGCCACGAAGGAGCCGAAAAGCGACGCGCTACACCTCTGCAAAGCAACGAAAAGGAGAAGATGAAATGCAAAACCCTTGACGCCTCTAAGGTATTATTGATTAACTTAATTAATATAATCCCACTTGTTGCCAAACAGCCCCTTAAGCTGGATTTGAGCAAGATTTAAGCTTTTAAATTCAACAGCAACTTAAATCCTCCTTTCCCTCTTTCGGCGAATTTATGGGATTTGGCCGAAGAAACACGCGAAAGTAAGAAAGATGGCTACCTTCACGGCTCCCGTCGTCTTTGTTCCTTTCGATCCAACACAAGAACGGTTTGAAGGCGGCGAAGAACTTATTTAGGGACTCGTTCAAAACTACCTCTCACTCACGCGAAGCAGGCAAAGTCGAAGGTTGGCTGTCAAAAGCGGTTTCGGGTCCAACCTGACCCGACACTTTTTAATCAGACTCTTTTTTAAAAATGGGTTGATTTTTTGGACCCGAACTCAACACACTTCAGGTCCGCGTCAACCCGAATCCAACCGGCTTCTTTTATGTTTTATTAATTTTTTTTTATTTAATTTTATTTATTTAAACCTAAATCGAATAAAGATAAGATTTATTTCAATCAATTTAAAATAAATCAAACTTAATACAGTTTGAATAACATGATTTTTTTATAATTAGTTATTAATTAAGATGTTAAATTAGTATAATTAAAATGAATATAGGACAAATAAATAAAATAAGATGTTACACTTGCATAAATACTTAAATCCTAAACTAAATATCTAAATAGTTTATCTGGATTTAATTGGATTTAACACTTTTTATGATTTAAGCCCCATAAGATTTATGATACTTTTAAAAATTTAAATAAATTTAAAAAATAAAAAATATGTAAATACTTGATTTTCATTGTAATTTTTGATATGTGACAAAAGATTATCTTGATCGGGCACGAATCTTGATGCAAAATTGATTTGAAAGCTTCCAAAATTAGATATGGGACCATCTGAAATTCAATTTCAACAAACTTGTAATCGAACTGAACGTCTCAAGAAGACGAGCCCAACGACACCAAATTTGACTCAATCTGAGCCCGAATGGGTCCAAATCAAAGACCCAAAGCGCATTCGAAAGATTCAAATCATAATTCGAATTACCAAACAGTTTCCACTCAACATGCTTATAATAGAATCGAGCGGCTCGACAAGACAAATCCAACGAGCCCAAAATCATTTAATTTTGAAATCGTTAAGGCATCCAATTGACCAATAAACAGTCCATGATCAAGGGAATCGATATTAGCCATCCATTCAAATTACTCCGATTTTGCCCTTGATCCTCCATATATTTACAAGTCATGCCACTCTCAAAAAACTATAAATAGCCCCCACTCTTCTCATGAGGAGGGAGGAGAAAGAAGGAAATGAAGGGAGGAGTTTGGGAGCTCTCTTGCCATCAATCACCGCCGGAGTTCTTCCCGACCATCACTGGAGTTCATCCTAACCACCGCCGGAGTTCCTCCCGACCACCGCCAGAGTTCTTCCCAACAACCAACAGACTTTTGCCAGTCCGTCGACCGCCGCCGGACATCTACCAGTTTGCTGACCGCCGCCAGACTTTCATCCATCCACCGACCGCCTCCGGACTTCCACCAGTTCGCCAACCATCGTCACACTTCTGCTCGTCCGCCGATCATTACTGAAATTCTTCATGATTGCATCTGGAGTTCTTTCCGGTCACCGATAGACATCCGCCAATCTGTCGAACACCACTGGACTTTCTCCAGTTCGCCAACTACAGTCCTCCCAACCACTTTATATCATCCTACTACGGTCATCCCGACCTCCTTCCCATGTCAATTATGATCCTTCTGACCTCCATCGTCTGCTGACAACAGTCCTTCCGACCTTCGTCATTTATCGACTACAATCCTTCTAACCTCCGTCGTCTGCCTACTACGGTCCTTCTAACCTCCATCGTCTGCTGACAACGGTCCTTCCGACCTCCGTCATCTATCGACTACATACGGTCCTTAGGACCTCCGCTGTCTGCCGGCTACACTCCCAGCCGACTACGATCTTCCTGACTTTCATCGCTCACCGACTACGGTCCTCCCGACCTTCATTGCTCGCTGACTACGATCCTTCTAACCTCCATCACCCGCCGACTACGATCCTTCCGACCTCTATCGTAATGTAACGGTCCTTCTGACCTTCATCGCCCGCCGACTACGGTTCTCCCGACCTGCATTGCCCACCAACTACGGTCCTTCTGACATCCTTCTTCTACTGACAAAGGTATTTGCAACCTGCATCGCCTGTCGACAACATTCCCCGCCGACTAGGACCTCCCGACCTTCGTCGCCCGCCGACTACGATCCTCTAGACCTCTATCACCATACAATGGTCCTTCTTACCTATGTCGCTTGCCGATTACGGTCCTTCAGACCTTTGTCGCCATACAAAGGTCCTTCTGACCTTTGTCGCTCGCCGACTACGATTCTTCTGACCATCGTCACCAGCAGAATATGATTCTTCTGATCTACATCGCTCGCTCGCCGACTATGGTTATGTCGCCCCAAACAAACATGTCAACAATGATTCTTCCAACTCCCATCATGTAATATACTATGTATGATGTATATTTGTCACATCAGGCCAAGACCTTCCTCTTAAGGAAGGGCCTCATTTGTAATGGACTGCAAACACTAATGGATTCATTCAAATTGGACCAGGTCTCGTGATTTTTTCCCTTTTTTAGGGGTTTCCACGTAAAAACTCTTGTGTCTCTTATGAACGTTACATCCTCACTTTTTTCTGCTTGTGTGCTGGATCTTCATACAAAGCTAAGGCATTAATCTTTATATTTCTCTACCGCTGCGAATTTTCTAGGACGCAACAATTTTAATACTGAAAATTATTTTAATTAGATCCTCTATTCTATCACCAAATAATATTAATATTATTGTTGAAATGGAATCTTATAAATCCTACTTTTTATTTGGTGATAACAATAGATGATCTAATAATAAATGATATTGTAGGCTTTATAGAGTGCAACTATAAATGATGAGTTATAACAAAATTATTCAAAGGTCACCAATTAAAACCTTTTTTTTTAAGTTTAATGTAATGATCTCTCCATTCAAATTTCATAGATATCTTTTTAGTATATTAATAATTCTAATTAATTTTTAATTAAATGTAGAGAAGAAAATCAACCAGCCATCTCTTGGACTTATTTCAATAAGTGATGTGTTTAGGAATGATATTCTCTTAGACTTAAACATTAAAATAAGCATACAATGTTATCATAAAATTCATAATATGTACATACATACATACATGTACATGTACATATATATGCATGTATGTATGTATATATGTATGCATGTATGAAGAATCTTATAGTAACATTTTATGTTTATTTTAATATTTAAGAAATTAGTTATAAATTTATATAAGCTATTTATAAACACTTCTTTTTTTAGAAATTATGAATATAATAACTAATTTGTTTCATTAACATATATCTATTTATAGATACAAAAAAAATGTATGTATTAATAATTAATAGTTAATACATAAAATTGGCTTTTAATATTTTAATTCATACCTTTTCTATAACTATTCAAACACACAAATCACATGTTATATTGAGTCATACAATTAGTCACTCACATTTATTTGATCAAGTAGAACTAGAGTTACTATAATAGGATAGGCAATGTAAAATATAATAATTCTATACATATAACATAAGAATATAGATTCCAAACAATTTTATAGAGTAATAATTATGCTAAGAAGGAAAAAAAAAAACAATATGTTTTTATAAAATCAATATAGTATTCATTAGGAAAAAGTATATTTATTGATGTAAATTGTTGTGCTAAGAGAGCCAGAGATTCAGCTAGCGCAAGTATTGTTTGACTTAACTCATTAATTAAATGAGTCAAAATTTTATATTTCTGCTGATTCATTTATTTATTGAGTTGAGCACAAACTGTTCATGATTTAAAAAAAAAATTAAAAAATTATATATATATATATATATATATATATATATTCATTTGTCACGCTCT